GAACCTAACCTGCCGTATAAGTGGGACCCTACTGTATACAGTAGTTTTGGCTACATTTGGCAAACTGCCAGGTGCAATCTTCCATCCCAAACAGTTTTTCAGAGGTCACCAGATGGTGTTTTACCACTGGCTGGGGAGGACAGTGAGCAGTTGCTCGGTCTCCATTAACATAGCCTCACACACAAACACTTTTTTGTACAGTAATTTTCTGACCTTAGAATTTCTGTGCATAATCTTTTGAGTGTAGCCTGTATCCAGAGTGTTTACTTGTTTTAACTACATTGTTGAATGTAGACCCTGAGAAGAAGTGTTATCAATTTGACCTTTGTGCAGAATATTAGCACACAATCTGTGTGCTTAAATGGAGTACACTATGTCTTAGATTTAAGAACATAAGAACATAACATAAGAAAGAAGGAACACTGCAACAGGCCTACTGACCCATGTGAAGCAGGTCCATGCCACCCCCGGCTTAGAACAATGATCACCTAGTCAGGTCACTTCCACTTAAGGAAGGAGCACAGCACCAGACCTGGTAGCACAAACTAGTCAGGTCTAACTCACACCCACCCACACCCACTCGTGTATTTATCCAACCTATTTTTAAAACTACACAAGGTCTTAGCTTCTATGACGGTACTCAAGAGTTTGTTCCACTCATCCACAACTCTATTACCAAACCAGTGCTTTCCTATGTCCTTCCTGAATCTGAACTTTTCCAACTTGAAACCATTGCTACGAGTCCTGTCTTGGCTGGATATTTTCAACATGCTATTTACGTCCCCTTTATTTGTTCCTGTTTTCCATTTATACCCCTCAGTCATATCATCCCTAATTCTATGCCTTTCCAGAGAGTGCAGATTCGAGGCCCTCAGTCTATTCTCATAGGGAAGATTTCTGATACATGGGATCTTTGTCATCTTCCTCTGTACGTTTTCCAGTGCATTTATATCCATTCTGTAATATGGTGACCAGAACTGTGCAGCATAATCTAAATGAGGCCTAACCAAGGATATATAGAGTTGAAGAACAACCTGAGGACTTCTATTATTTATACTTACTGATGTGAAACCAAGAATTCTGTTAGCCTTATTGCGAACACTTATGCACTGCTGTCTTTGTTTCAGACTACTGCTAGCCAGAACTCCCAAATCCTTTTTGCAGTCAGTAGTATTAAGATCTACACTATTCAGTTTATAAGTGGCATGGTTATTGTCCTGTCCAAGATTTAGAACCTTGCATTTGTCTACATTAAACTGCATCTGCCACTTCTCCGACCACTGCATCAGTCTATTCAAATCATCCTGGAGTGCACTAATGTCCTCAATAGAACGAATTGAGCGGCCTATTTTGGTGTCATCTTTTTTGGGTGTTAAGCCTTTCTTTAGTGTACTGAGCTTTCTCTGGTGTGAACTTAGTCTCAGGAAGAGTTGACTGAAATCCTTTCCTTAATAGATCTCCCTTTATAACAGCACAGAAGTTCTAAGTGAAATTTAAGTCTGGGGAATATCATGACCAGTCATCACAGTCATGAAGCCACTGAAGACCAGATTTTGCAGTATGGCAAGGAGCACCGTCATGCATAAAAAGTTACCCACATTGTGTGAAAGATTTAACCCTTTGACTGTTTCGGTCTTACATATATGTCTTACGAGCCACCGTTTTTGACGTATATATACTCATAAAGTCTAGCGGCTTCAAATCAAGGAGGAGAAATCTGGTAGGCCCACATGAGAGAATGGGTCTGTGTGGTCAGTGTGCACCATATAAAAAAAATCCTGCAGCACGCAGTGCATAATAATAAAAAAAAAACTTTGACCTTTTTTTTTTAATTAAAATGCTGACTTTGTGGTCTATTTTCATATAGTATTTATTGTTGTATTCTCGTTTGATAGAATGGAAAACATATTATAGAAATAGAGGTGATTTTGATTGGTTTTACTATGAAATGAACCTTGAAATGGAGCTCAAAGTAGGGGAAATGTTTGATTTTTGCTGATGTTCAAAAGTAAACAAATGATGTCGTTTTCCAATAAATGTCCAAGTAGCCATTCTAATATGCACCCATGAATGGGTTGATATTATTTATACAATTATTACAATATTGCAGTCGTCTACATAACAGTAAATCTTTTATAGTTTGAATAAAAATTCAAAATAGAAAGCAAGAGTAATATCAGAGGGGCCTGGAGACGTGACTGATGAACAAAAAAAATATTATTTTAGAGCCAGGAATGTCAGCATTGTTCATTCTGGACCCTATTTTGAAATTGTCATATTTTTTAATTTTCGTGAAATTGGCCAAATTGCAAATTTCTGACCACGGTATTGGGTAGTTGAAATCAATAAATGGGCAGTTTCTTGTACTCACTTGATAGAAAAAATGGAGTTCTGAAGAAATAGCTATGAGTTTGGTCGACTGGAGCAATGGAATTAGCCGAAAATAGGGCTCAAAGTGGGTGAAATCGCCGATTCGTAAATATCGCTGAGGTCGCTAACTTCGTGAGAGTGTAATTCTGTCAGTTTTCCATCAAATTTCATTCTTTTGGTGTCATTAAAATCAGGAAAAGATTCTCTATTATTTCATATGTGCTTTTTTTTTTTTTTTTTTTTTTACAAATTTTGCGACATCAGGAGACACCTCAGGATATGGGGTTGCGACAGTCAAGGGGTTAAGCAAATGATACCAGAGCAATTCTAGATATATACATTATTACAGTTAACCTTAGAGGTGATTTTTTTGAAGCTTCCCTGGATGTGCTTTTGATGTGGGCAAATCATCAATGCTCTCCTCAAGGAGCTGACACAACCTGGGCCTCCTCTTCCCAGTGGCCGAGCTTGTAACTCAGTTCGCTCTTACATGTATATGAAATCAATTTTCCTTATTGAAATTAATTGAAATGCCATTAATCCATTCCAGCCTCCAAAAAACAAAATAAGAAAAATGTATTTATGAATAAGAAATATTGTATATTCACCCACCATCCTTACTACTCCACCCACCACCATCTCTACTCCACCCACCACCCTCACTACTCCACCCACCACCGTCTCTACCCCACCCACCATCTCTACTCCACCCACCACCTTCACTACTCCATCCACCACCACCACCACTACTCCACCCACCACTTATCAGTACTCCACCCACCACCATCACTGCTCCACCCACCACTATCAGTACTCCACCCACCACCATAACACTCCACCCATCACCATCACTACTCCACCCACCACTATCAGTACTCCACCCACCACCACTACCCTGTCCACCACTATCACTACTCCACCCATCACTTTCAGTATTCCACCCACTTTTATGTTTTTGGAAAAACTCTGAGTGTTGAAATGGAGGTTACCTCTTCTCCGGATTTATACGAGCATGAACCACGGGACGAGGTGCCTCACTATGGTCTGGGATTATTCTTCCAGTTATGTCTTGGAAGAGCTTTGGGATGGGACGAAGTACCTGACATTCCTCTGGGTACAGAGTTGGATTTTACTTCAGATACGCCGCCAACGAGTGGCGGCATATCTGAAGCTTGCTCGTAACTTGGATTTTGGTTCACTACTCAAAGCAAAAAATTGACAGAGTGACGGCTCGTAACTTGGAAAATTCATAAGTTGGGGCACTTATAAGTCAAAGTACCACTGTATTTCCTTCATTTGATAACCTGCCTTATGTAATCCAATGATCTTTGCAATTTTCATTTGTGTCAGCGACTTTTGCTTACATTAATTTATCACTAGTCAAAAATGTCTGACAAACTTGACCCTTAAGAGGTACCATGGGCACAGGACTGTTCACCTCACAGGTCTAGAGGGCACCTAACATGGAGCCAGTATCCTTAGGAGATAATAAGACGTCCTGCTTCAAATTACAGGGCCGGCACATATTGTATCTTGTCAACAGACCTACCAGGTTAGGATATTACTTTGAGTATTGAAACATGCCTGGTGCCTTCCACCCGGCATACCTTAATGACGAACACCATATGTTCGTTTTACATTTTGTGTTGTACCCAATCTCAAGATAGGTAAATAGAAGTAAGATTTTTGGTTTAAAATTGTAAGTTAATTTGATTACAACAAGGATTACACTGGAGGCAGATGCAAATCTGCCTCTCAACTGGGGATGTTGCAGTTGTGCTAGTCATTTAAATTATGATGTCCAACCATTTTGGGAAGGCTGATTTGGAATGTATTTCCTCTTTTTAGTGGGAAATAGTTGGTGTTAAAAATTGTAAATTGGATTTTTGGCAAAGTTATACATGCAGGCCGAATAAGAGATTTTTACATTGCAGAAAATGCTGCAGTTGTAGATAATGAAAATATAATAGCTCAAGCTGTTATTAAGGCGAAACAATGTTTTACAGCTTTTGTTCATATTCTTTTTTTTTTTTTTTTTTTTTATTATCACACTGGCCGATTCCCACCAAGGCAGGGTGGCCCGAAAAAGAAAAACTTTCACCATCATTCACTCCATCACTGTCTTGCCAGAAGGGTGCTTTACACTAAAGTTTTTAAACTGCAACATTAACACCCCTCCTTCAGAGTGCAGGCACTGTACTTCCCATCTCCAGGACTCAAGTCCGGCCTGCCGGTTTCCCTGAATCCCTTCATAAATGTTACTTTGCTCACACTCCAACAGCACGTCAATTCTTTTTATCCTTGTTTAATCCTATTACACTTGAATAAGTGTACTGATTGAGTTTGTGCGTTATTTAAATAGGCTTACACAATTAAACATCAAATGGTTAACAAAATACTGTAACTCTTGAGCAGTGCACTAAGGTAATACAAAGACAGGAAAATGAACTACGTATGCATCAAGTCATCAGGAATATAATAGCCATTTATTTGTAAATTAATTCACCAGTTTTTTGGTCAGACAACCTATTTTCTCTTCTAAATTCAATAAGAAAGGAGGCAAATGTACATATATATGTACAGTGCTAAAGTACTTTTGATAATATACTATTTGTAAATGTTTTTTAAAGGGGTTGGTTAGCGCCAGCGATCGCATTCAGTTGCTGCGACTAGCTCTCAACTCTTCGTCATGGGTGCACGTGAGTGAGTGGGAGACTCGGCAAGATGATTGGACTCCTACTAGGGAAGTTGTTCAGTACCATCAGGTTAGTCACTAGTCATTATTAATCAAAGATATATTGAAGCATGTGCCTCTGATTTAGCTTGTCTTGAGTTTTTCTTTTGAAGTTTTTCATTATAACTTGCTACTGTCATGTCTATATTAGCTTCTTTTGGTTTACTAAGGGTTTTAGTTTTCAATATAGATTTGTGGGTAAAACATTAATTTAACAGGAAGTTGTCTTAGTTTCTTTTTTAATGAAATTTGAGGCAAAGTGAAGGCATTCATTACATAGAAACCAAAATTTGGTTTTCACTCAGGAATTCTCTTGTAAGAAAATTATGGATAACTTATGCTTTAGCGGTATCTACTTACAGTATTTGGTTGATGGTGTTATTGTTTGGTAGCACAAATATCAACAGTTTTTAACCCAAGGGGTAAGGTACCAACGAAGTTTATGTACCTAACTCAATTTTTTTCTTTAAGGTAAACACTTTTGTAAATAGTACTTAAATTTTGGAGTTCACTATATAGGCTGTCATTTTCATCCTGTCCTGTATATACCTCATTGGATAAATCAGATAAAACTGGATTAAAGTTGTTCATGTTAGTGTGAAGTTTATATGTATGTAAATTTTCATGTACCAGTAACATCAGATAGAGCACACTTCAAACCCCATATTTTTTTTTAATCACATTAACTCTGTCTCATCAAGGTACCTTGATCCAAAAGAAAGAAACTTTCATCATCGTCATCATCATCATCATCATCCATCAATCATCCATTCAATAATTGTCTTCTCAGAAGTGTGCAGTCATAACAGTTCAAATGACCCACCAAACTTTAACCATTCTACCTTTTCTTCTGGGGGAGCGTGGATCTTACAGTGACCCCTAATCAACTAACCCCTTTATGTTTAAGTTTAAAATTAAACATGAGTTAGTATTAACAATGGTGGCAGTGTCTTGAATATAACCACTAAGTTTTTCATGGTGTACTTTGATGAATGATTGTTCAAAATTTTTTTTGGTATTGCAGGTAATACCTGCTGGTATTAATGTCATCAGTTAAAAGGCTTTGAAAGTTTTGCAGCCATATTTGGACATAACAAATATGCATAAAATTAAGAATACCAGGAAAAAAACGGTGATTGGGAACCTGATTGCAAATCCTCAAATCCTTTAATATTTTGTTTATTCTGATGGCTTTTAAAGGAGTTTTGCACAGAGAAAGGTCTCAACCTTTAAAAACAGTCTAGGATAGGGATTCACAATTCTACTTCTGCTCCTCCTTTTTAGTATGAAACTTGCACATGCACATTAATATACTTATGTACATACAGTGTGAATATACATAAAAAATTCATAAGTTCCTTGAAAATTGGATATTGCAGTCACCCCCAGAAATGGAAAAATTACTGTACTAGCAAAAGCAAGATGACTAAGAACTTGTGAGTTCCATGGGAAAATACTGTAGCAGGCTTGGAGCACTTTGAGATAAGATAAGAAATTGAGCAGATGGAGGAGTGAGCCTCCAACACTCATGCTTAATGACCCACAGGGGTTTAGCACTTCACGAGATACAAGTAAACCAGAATGTAATAACTAGCATGCAGTGAGTAATTATAGATTTGGCTGTCTTATTAAGGTGAATTTAAAAATGACATTGCAAAATGAAAATGCAATCTGTTAAAAAGTAGAGAATATGAATCTGAAAAATCTGAGAGGAAGAATTAATAATTTCAATCTAGATCGGCAAGACCATTTGAAAGAACAGTACAGTACAGTAGTGTTGCGTTTGTATGGCCCACATACCTCTTCCCTCTTCTATGCCCAGTAAATTGGGTATGACTGGTTGGTAGGATAATGTAAAATTGTTTACAATTCATTATGTTCACCTGTTTGTCATACAGTTTTTTTTACATGTTATAAATAATTTCCATATGAAACAGTAAAAAAATTTTAATTTAGAGAAGGCAGAAGGTGACTTTTGGGATAAATACTTGAAAATGAGATGTGGAGCAGCACGAGTGTCCATCCCCATACATCATTTGGCCAGCTTTTGCCATCACTCTTATGGAACATAGAAAAAAAAGGCAACACATAGTCTGCTTTTTGCTGGTTCTTTGTTAAATACTAAGGAAGAAAAGAGATTTGTGAGTTGTAAAGGAATTTTCAGTGTATTGGATTTTGAAGATGGAAGAAAGAGCTTAGAATGGAAAAATTTTAAGTAATTGCCTCAATGTCCTACCAACAGGATATACTGTATACACATTTTTTTTTTGTCTTGGTGATAGAGGTTTTTCAGCTAGTTTAGGGAGATGGTAATGTTGTGGTGATGAGGCTCTATTTCTCTCATCATTATTGGTGATGGTGGGAGTTCACTACAGATCAATTTCAACATAATCTGTCTCTGTGCTGATTTATTTGAATTAGCAGATGAACATGGATATAATATTGATGATTTGCACATAATTGGAAGGTAATCATATACAGTGGACCCCCGCATAACGATCACCTCCGAATGCGACCAATTATGTAAGTGTATTTATGTAAGTGCGTTTGTACGTGTATGTTTGGGGTTCTGAAATGGACTAATCTACTTCACAATATTTCTTATGGGAACAAATTCGGTCAGTACTGGCACCTGAACATACTTCTGGAGTGAACCATAACCCGCCGGGATTGAACCCGCGGTCATAGAGTCTATGACCGCGGGTTCAATCCCGTGGGAGGTATGGTTTATTTGAATCTGTTCAATACGATTTCTTTAAGTCATGTTCTGGAGTGAAAAAATATCGTTAACGGGTCCACTGTATTTGGTTTATGATCATAAATGGGATTGTATTTTTTTGTGGTAATGCACTGATTCATATTGATACAGCTGTCATTAACAGAGGTGAAAGATGTATGTATGGCATTAATTTGAACTGTCAAGTGCACATTAATGCAAAAAATATTTTATTGTTAATTTTAAAATGATGCAGCCTGAACTATCAGAAAGCAAGACTTTTTTTTTTTTTGATGACTTGCATGTCAGTAGAATACAAGAGTGTTGAACATGGATATAATACAGTGGCACCTCAAATATCGAACTTTCTTCATTCCAGACGGCTGTTCAAGTGCTGTTACCGAACGAATTTATTCCCATCAGGAATAACGTAAATTAGATTAGTTCATTTCATACCCTCAAAAATACACTTATAAAAGCACTTACAAAAATACACTTACATAATTGGTTGAGTTGGGAGCAGTTCAATATTTGAGGTTCCACTGTATTGATGATTTGCACATAATTGGAAGGCGATCATACCTTTTCCTCTGGGAAAATTAATTATGCAAAAGCTCTTGGGGTGTTTTTCATTATATTGATCAGTCAGAAATTCTTCAGAAAGTGTAAATTCCTCACATAAGATTTCAGCCTAGCAGTAAACAATGACCTGTTGCACATTATCTTGAATGTTCATGTTTTTTTCAACTTTACTACACTTGTGCCCAAAACCTTTAAAGTCCACTTATTTTTATGTGGTCCAAAGCATTGTTGGGTTAAACCTTGGATTGAGCAGATTCCTTGTTTGTCCAATAGTGTAATATAATAAGCTATCTCAAATAAAATATTTATGCTGTTTTACAATTTTTTTTGTTCTTATTTTAAGTGTAATAACTTAGTACTAAATGTGGAGGTAGGAGATTTTTTTTTTATTTTGTGTGTTGTCTTTGTCTTCTTCTTTGTCCTCCTTTTCTATATCTTCATTGAATTCAGAATCAGAGGATATCATTAGAATGGCATTATAAGTCTGAACTCATCTTGGGTTACTTTATTACTCTATTAGACTGTCAAAGCAGAGATCACTCTGTGAAACATGCAAGATTATTATTTTTTGCTTGACTCAGAGATGATAATTGTGACAGTGTGAGTGAGCTGCTTGTTTTGTGGGAGGTAACTTTTCTAAAGTTTATTAAAAAATGAACAGTCCAAAATACAATAAATCAAGGAGCCAACAGCAAATTTTGTCTTGCTTTTAGAGAGCAACCTAGTACAGGTCCTCCATCACAAATCTGGCATCGTTGAGACCTGTAGTGTGCCAGATTACTGAGTTTGCTGGATTACAGAGTGGTTAGGTTAGAATACACTTAATAATATTAACCAACTTGACTTACACAAAGTTCATTGAACATCGGCAAAAATTGGTTTCCACTACTTTGAGCTCAATTTCAAGGTACTTTTCGTCATGAAACCAATCAAAATCATATCTATTTCTGTAATATATCTTCCATTCTATCAAATGAGGCCAAAAAAACGAGAATGCAGCCATAAAATCCATACGAAAATACACCGCAGAGGCTGCTAATGGCTGAGAAGTGAACTCCCTTATTTATTGTCCATTTTTTTTTTTTTTGGTGTATGTTAAGAAGCATCTTTCCATCATACATTGCCCAAGTTTCAATAAGATAGCCCATCAAACAACTGAGAAAAAAAAAATATTTACCAAAAATCATATATGGCACAAGCCCAAGCCAGGTAATGGAAATAAGTCACTTTGTCTGACTTTTTTGGGTTATCCTAAGTTCTCTATACATATGTTGCTATGTATGATAATCTATATAACTGTATTTGTGCATACCTGAATAAACTTACTTATTTACTTGCTTCTATTCTGTCGACTGAGTACAAGAAACCACCCATTCGCCTATTTCAGCTACCCAATAAAGTGATCAGAAATTGGCAATTTGGCCAATTACACACAAATTTCAACAGATGCCAATTTCAAAATAGGGCCCAGAATAATGCAGACATGCTTGGCACTAAAATAACATTTTCTCTGTTTATTAGTCACAGCTCCAGGCCCCTCTTATATTGCTCTTGCTTACCATTTGAAAATTTTATTCACAAAAAAAATAGAAGATTTACTGTTATGCAGACTACTGCATTATTGTAATAATTGTATAAATAATGTCAACCCATTCTGGACTGCGTATTGGAATTTGGACTGGCAAGCGCACACATATTAGATGGTGACACCATTTGTTTACTCTTCAACATCG